TTCATAGCGAGATAAGTTTGTGGTAAATTCGCACAAATATTAATTCAAACCACAATCGATTAAATGCTACTGCAAATGACAAACAAAATCAAAGGTGACCCTTATCCGTGAGTGCGCAAGTATCAAAACGTAACCGTGATAATCCTTGTAACTAAACAACTGAGACCGGATCATGACAACTTGTTGAATGATAAGCGGTTAATAAACACCTTTTCCGAACCATCGTGCATACACGACGAGTTGCCACTCAAACGACGATTCTCTTATGCAAATGAATACAAACAGCGTTCTCCCTCCCGTAATCACTTTTCAAATCCACGACTTTTGCTTGCGTAACGTTAGATCATACTTGAGTACCTTCATTTTGATCACATTCGCAATCTCATCCTCATTACGATTCTGACCTGAAATTGCGCGATAGAAACGATCAGCAAATTCTCGTTTTAACGTTATAAGGAAGACAAGTGGAAAATTTGACGCGGACTAACCGTAATAATCGTGGAAATTGCCATCTGGATCAATCAAATACATAATCACCGAATGATCAACGATATAATCATCGGGCGCATTCTTGGATCGTGGCCCTTGACTGTAGTACACACGGAATGTTTTTGCCACTTTATCAACCTTTAAAGACGTACAGACTAGAAACGGTTTACATTCAAACGTCGTCGACAAATTAAAATGCTTCAGAATGATTTCAAACGAATCAAACTGATGAATACAAATAAGCGAACAATCGACTGTAACACTTTGAAGTGTTCAGTCTTTTCGTAGGCAACACCCACCTGCTCTTTATTACCCGTGTATCCACGAAGTTTGGGCGAGAACTCGAGGCAGTACTCTTTGACACGTTCAATGGTGTCTCGTTCAGGATCAACCGAAATAAAAATCGGAAGAATCGAAAACTTTTTTTGTGGCTCCGCATCCAAAATATCCACTACCTACAATAAAAACCGTAAAATATCAATTCGAAACCGAACTGATCACAACCCTCTCAGACCATATATCGCACTTATTTCGGCTACCCGAGAACTACGAATATCGACGTGTTCTGAGGAAGAAGCATGATCATTGACAAAAAAAGCATCAGAAATTTTTGGGTAGAACGTCTTTGATAGCACAACTCCGCCACCAATATGTCTCACTAATCAGTTACACAAAAGTAATCAGATTTTGCGACGAATGTACAGTTCTGTCATTCAAAAAAATTACCAATTAATATAAACAAACAAAATAGATAATATAACTGACTTGAAAGCAACCACCAAAAAGTAAACTAGAATTGACTTGAAAGCAAGAATAAAAAAGATTCGAAACTGACAAAAGTCATTAACCTTAATCATTTTTTCAATTTCATCCGGACACACATCAGGACAATGAGTGAAACCAAAATAGATGAGCAGCCAATTGCCCTTCAGTTGCTCTGACCCTTCTAATTTGCCATCTGTATTTAACAGTTCCCAAGGACCACCGATACGCGCTTTACCCGCCAATACTTTACGCCGTTTTTCCTCCTCGGCTAACCTCTGGAAGCATTACTATTAGAAATTCAGTCGTTTTTAAACAAAGCAGCAACTCCATAAACAGTGAATCGATGCAGTGAAAACGAAGAAAAAACCTTTTCCCGCATATAAATTAAGGCACTCAACGCGATACCTCCAACTGTCAACGTACCAAGTGCGATCTTCCAACTGAATATATAACTACGATCGTGAGCATCTCGCTGTAAATGTAAAACGAAAAATTTGACGCAGCATGGTAGTAACACTGAAGTTTAGGAGTAACACTGAAGAACGAACAAAGCTAGCAACTAATAAGCATCATTATTTTACTACCTCTCTTCTCTGCTTGAAATTCATAAATTTCTCATCAATTTTAGGTCCACTATCATCCGATTCGTCACCTTTCTTTAACGCATTATCAATTTCATCCAAGTTGATTTTTGGATTGCCATCATCACTTGAGGACTGGCTATCTTTTCCATCTGAAAATCCATCACACTAGAACTGCAAACGTGAACTCATACGTACGAAAACAAAAGCTGACAAAGTCTCGCACTTACTCTGCGAATGGTTCGTCGTAAGTGATCGATAAAATGCTCTATAACTGATGGTGGATGGATAGCATAAACTGACGATATTGAGTGGCTGTTCGAGAAAAACAGCTACTTTCCGAGAAGCGCCGAAACTACTTCTGATGACAGCCGATAGCATTGCTGATCTGTTGAACAGTCTGTTTCAACCCTTGAAAATTGCTTGATTTCAGTTGTCGAATCTTGTTATGTGACCATAAAATGTTGCATCAAATTACTGTCATTCTATTGCGATGCTTTAAGCGCCAGTAATGATCCAAAATCTTCAGGCATTTGCACATATTAGTGCAACTTGTTGTTATAATTCTTCTTTTCTTCGACATACAGCTGTTTTTATGAAATCATAATCAAACAACCAAATTTTCCAGTAAGCTCAGATATTCATATATGCTGCATAAAAAGTAGAAAAGAAATGGGTGCACCTGCTCACTGATATCGATGCAATCACTACATGCTTACTTGATCAGTTTATGACACATAATCGTACCATCCACATTCACATTATTTGTGCTGTCATTTAAGAAATCTCAAAATTTCAATCACACGCTTCAGCATTCTTTCCGATGACGACCAACACTCATCTACGTATCATTAAGACCTCTTATTCAACTCATTTGAATCGATACATAATTGTTTATTTGCCAATCCCCGCGCAAATCCTAATGCTATTGTACACTGCCATCCCATTTCTGACCTGTACACATCATTATGTATTATCTGCATTATGCGTCATTATTCATGAGGACAAAAATGGCGCCATCTTCTTCGTCACCAAGCTTTATTATTGCAACATCCTTTCAGCACTCATCTGACCATTCTCTGTATAACCGACGACCGTAAACTGATCTCTCTTTGTACATGAAAACTACCCTCAGCCTTTGTATGACACAACATGACTCCTTTGACGATTCAGTGGACGAACACACCACAAATTTTTTGGAGGATGCAGCTTTCCTCGTAGCTCTGAGCTCAATTAGACTACAGTAAAGCAGGTGTTCATTTAGTAATAATGAGATGAATGCAAGCACTCGAAAAGTATCCACATGTATAGGTACGTGATCATCGACACAACCTGATTTCAACAGTACTCTTCACAGCTCAACATCTATTTCCAACTCACACTTGTGACTACAACTACTGCAATAAAGTGCAAAGAAACATTAGCAATAACACATCGGATTCAAATTTTAAAGTTTAATTTACAGACGATGATTGATTGTACGGCGATAAAATGATACAAGGAAAGGAAAACATTTAAAAAAAAACAAAACGATGAAGAGATCGTCGCGTGAAAGTAGCGACAGAGCCAAAAAATTGTGCCATGAAAATGGTAACGATAATATTAATAACGATGCAACAATAGTTATTAGCATTATCATTACGAGAACTCACCAGACAATACATCAAATTAAAACGAACACAATTAAAAATGAGATTAAATATGTACGTGTGTGCACAGCCAGCAGATAACCAAAAACAACACATACATACATATTCGAGGTACTTGTCAATTTTCTTCTTCAGTTCTTAAGAAGGCAACAACTCACAGCTCAAAACAACAACACAATCAAAAACACCCAGTTCCCTCAGTCACCAACCTAAATTCATGAAAAACTTCACTCAATTTCCATTCATTCAGTTCATATTCGGCTAAACGAATAAAAATATTACTAGGATAATCATTATTCATAGGATGGACCAAGAAACCAGTCAAACGAACATTTGGCCCATTAATGACTGTGTGATTATTGTTGAACTGTGTTGCTGCTCCACAAATCGCTAATGCCTAGTATCATTATTACTGTCTCTTGTGCTTATCATCACTAGGATTAATAAACTGAATCAATTAATCAATAGATGGAAATTTACATACAGATGAATCAAAAAATCGGTATTGAAATAAGTTTCCATTCACTCATAAAATACAGATTATATTGATTCACTGACCGAATGAGAGCGCTTAAATATACCAGCAACCGAATCATTCGTTATTAGAATATGAAAAGATTTCTGGTGGCATCGAACTATTGGTTGGGTTTTTTGCAACTGATTCAAAATGAAATAACAGCCTTGCTGTAATAACCTCTTCTTTTCATTACAATGATGATGATATGTAGATCGTTGAAGGGAAGTTCGAATCTCAAAACGGTACAAAGTAACGAAAATCTCGCATTCATAGTAATGATTATAACAGTTCATGACGAAACCACATTCAACTCACGGTCAGCGAGAGGGTTAAAACAACATAAAAGTAATCAAACCGACAATGTCACATCAATCAGATGAATGATGCAAAGCGAGTAATTGAGAGAATCTGTTGAATGAACGAGACAAATTAAGTAATGAATTAATCTTGGATGATAAAAAACAAGAGAGTGAATTGTTGATTTGAACAGAACTGATCAACAGATAATAAAGTATATACATAAATGTTAAATTGGAGGAGGTGGATAAGATGTTGAAAGGATTACAAGATTGGAAATGCGGACAAATTGAGTGATAACTGATAATACTGAAATGGTGGAACAAACACGTTGCATAACAACAGAAGACATTTACTATCAGAGAAAACGAACGCATTACGTTCACGCATCTGACCTTGAAACGACTCTTTTTTCGGGCAAAAAGCGATACTTCTTGAAAGTGATCGGTTATTAGAAGCCGAGCAAGAGAGATTCAATAAAAGCAAATTCGTGAACATAATCCGAGAAATAAACAAAACCATATAAGAACAATTTACAGAGAAATTGAAAAACGAACAATTGTTACATGAATTGAAGAAGTGTGCTGCTGATAGATAAAGAGCCGGCCAATGGTTTCATCACTCACATTCCTAAACAAAGCGCTCGAAGCACCTTCCAGCCATTCATCCACCCATCCATGCGCCGGTTGCTCACAACGCTCCTCACTCCTTCTTATAGGCGGCTATATCCCTCTCATAGCGTTTCTTATCATCTGCTGCTTTCTTTTCCCATTTCTAAACAAGAAAACACCAACTTTAATAATCGTTCACTTCAACGAATCTGAATCAATCAATCATTTCTTGCAGCAGGTTCACATGCAAAATACAACATCTCACTTTTTTCAAACAATTGAACGCCAATTTGTTGTTGTATCCTCAGACTGTTGGTCAATCAAACATTCAGTGGCAATCAGATAATGGAAATAAACTATGCGCTTAATATCAGACTGAGGAAGTAGTTACCACTACATGGACACACAAGTACCATGTGGACAATTACATGTAACTGATTTTCAGTCCCTTAGATCAATGAGTATGGCGGAATGTGATTCACAATGCGAAGCCCTGGACGCAAGAAAGTCCTTGTATATATGATACTTCAGAAACCAGGAAAAATAGTTTGCCATTTCAAGTCAGCAAAATGAATCTAAAATGCAGATCACTGAAAAGATATAAACAAGGAAACAGTTAAAATATTGCTTACGGTTTTATCTGATAGTTTGCCCCACTCCAGACCAGCTGCTTTAGCCACATCAGCGACGCCCATACCTGGTTTCTTCAAACGTTCACGATTCTCTTGCATCCAGAAGAAGAATGCCGACATAGCACGCTTGGGTGCATTCGGATCCTTCGTTTTCTTGCTCGAGCCTGATGCCTTCTTCGCTTTAGCCATCAACACCAGTTATAAGATTGAATGAACGCTTGGTAAAATATTAGAAAGCGACAACACTGAAAATGAAACATTATTCGTGAGCATCAATCATTGCCTGAACGACATTGGTAAGCAGCACAAACACGTTGGGTATCCAATCAAAAACGGATCTCTCATTAGATGAGGACAAAGTAATGAATAAGAATGAAAATGCGAGCGATGATCACAAACGCATCAACGAATGACAGCATCGTCACGAACTCATACATAAAACAAAAAAGAATACTTCACATTACATATACGAGCAAATATATCGAGGATTTATATATTTGGCTGGGTTATTCAACGCAAATTGAAACATAAACGAGTTGAATAGAATTGTTTATAGGGAAATAGAACGACCTAGCACAAACACACATCCCATCCACTAGAAAAAATGACAAAGCTGCATAAATAAGAAATAAGTAAAACCAGGATAGAGCGGCAGCAGCAAAAAAATGAACACAAACGAATGAGACGCAGACTGAAGTACAAATACAATAAGGTTTTGCATAGAAAGTTGCTTATCCTCAGTTGCGATAACATTTCCTCAGTTTTGCAGCACCACTACATCTTCGAACTATCATACTATACATTAGCTTGAAAATTAAATTCCACACAACAATAGGAAAACACCGAACATTGAAACTGTGAAATGGACATTACGCCGGATCAAAACTAAGGATCTTTCGAAACATTAGTACTCTGAAAGGAAGATACGAAAGTGGGCAAACAGGTCTCCTATTTCATGATCCAATCGCCAGAATTGCGCTGTTACTATAGGCAGTCTTTAAAATGAGTTTTTCAGGATATGTTAGAATGAGATAACAAAAACCAGCAATAACTTCAACCAGTGAAAATTAAAATAAACTTAAACTACTTGATCAACAGAAGTACGAAGGTGAATATTTCCAAACAAGATAGCATTGTTCGTCAGAAATAATCATCAAGATAAGCAATATTACCAACTACGACGTAGTACAGCAATCGTTCTCATACTAGTAATAGCAATAATGCTGAGCGTTCGTAGTTGAAATAGCAAGAGTATGGAGCGTTGTTGTTCAGTAACAGCAGTAGTATTCAATCGTAAGATTGAATTGCCTGGCCTAGCCAATGCACACAACATCCATACACTGATATAAGTTGTTGGTTATACTCAGTGCTACGCTCTGCTCGGTTATATATTCTTCAAGAAGAACACAACAGCAGCATTTGTATATAGGAATACGCATATAATATGAATGCAGAGACGTACGTGATGTGGAAATGACTGCGTCGTTGTCGTTTCGTGTCATGTTTTAGTTAGATAGGACAGATAGATCTATCGCCTGTTTGAATCGCTGGTTCGTTCGTCCGCCTCTCAATACATATTCATTGAATATGAACAACGACTAAGTAAGCCAGCGAGCAACGACTTTACGATGAACAAGGGGAATGGGGAATAACATTAACATCTATCTACACATATACTACAGCGGCACATATTCATATAAACCGTATCTATCCAATAAACATAGGATACAACACTGCAGAATGTGTTATAAACATCACAATATATGAATATCACAAGCGACTCGCTCAGTGAAATGCTGAACCCGACAATGATAATCGCAAAAGAATAACAACGAAGAACTAGAGATAGATTGATGATAATGGCGCACCTCCTTTCCTCTTTATGCCTATATGCCTCTTGAATTAGGAGTCGAATCGTTTTCGCTCTCACTGTAAGCATAAACATCTCATCTCTAACTGCAAAATTAATCTGTTATTACCGACGACCGCAGTGCAATTTGACTGCTGTTTACTGTACATATTCGATTGCTAGTGTCTTCTGACAAAACGCATATAGAGAATAGCATTCATTTACACCAAGTTTATCCATTATTTCAATCGCAATTTTACGGTGAACGGACGGCATACACAACATGGTATACCGCATAAAATTGGGACTGTGAAAAAGTCGGGCCTGGCCAAAGTAGAAACAGAAGTGCGTGCCTTTTGATAATGTCGAACCAGTGTAAAAAAAAGCCTTTATGACAGTAATTCGTGTTTACTAGAATGAAGGTTCGTACCGGAAAAGTGATTCTACGGATTTCAAGTGATGTAGGGCTGTGTGATTTTAAACCCATTAAAGTGGGAAGCGGATTTTTTTGGCCCCGTGCTCGCATGTTCACGGAATTCGCTACCGAAAAGTTTGTGAACGTTGTGATACTGACCAGCACTCATTTCTTTGTAATGTTCCATATGTATTATAGAAAGTTCGTCTCACCCGTTTATTACTTCTGTGTATTGAGCGGCCAGTGGCTGTTCCTATGCAAGTTTATTTTCTATATCTTTGAATTGTATTTTATTTTTCTTAAATGAAGAAAAATTATTATTGTTTATTACGCATTGGTTCTATATAATTCGTGCAGTCTAATGAAATTCTATAGTCCGCACAATATAATCGATCAAGTCTTGTAAAATACGTTGAACTGAAAAGAAAACGAGAACAAAACTGATTGAAATACAAGCGAATTCATTTAAAACAAAAAAAATACCGACCACCTCTGGACACCGGTGACAAAAAAATTAAACAACGACAATGGTGAAATGAACCGAAAACAGAACTGACTGACGTGTAAAGTAATGTCGCCAAAGTGGAGCTCATTGAAAATAATTCACAAGGCATTAATATAATGAGCAATTCAATTTTCACTGAGCATGTCGAACAACAAATCAGTAGCGATTTCCACAGAAATCAAAGCATGAAAGCCAAAGAACTCCGCTCCACGGTTGACCGAATTAAATATCAAGTATGTAACTCCAGGTTACTACAAGCCAATTTTCGAGTGTAAAATCTTATATGGGTTCATTTAAATTGCCTTTATGAAGACTTTTTTTGCAATGACCCAGCGTTTCCACAATTTGTGGGGAAAAATAAAATACACGAACCTTGATAAAAATGTGAAGAACAAACAGGCGCTTACGTGAACAACGCAAGCAAACTACCACCAAACAACCAAACAGATAGTCTCTTGCTGTTTCAACCCCTCTTCGATATTACAAAAATCCGTAGTAACGCATAACGAGACAAATAATATTCATCAAAACATCCCATCGCACGTCTCTTCTTCTCTGTGCATTTCGATGCGGCATCTATTCAATTTCAAATAATGCGAGGGAATTTGTCGGTTGAAGATCATCGACGTAAAGTGCAGCTGAGTATCGAGACTATATTGTTCACACAATAATCCTTCTAATATTGTGATCAGTTGAGAATTCTTTGGTAGAATGGTAATAATCGGCTTTCTGAACGGAAAGAAAGTGAGATGAGCGTTCGCATGCAAAGATAATTAAACAATTCAGTTGTGGGACCTACAATTGTGAAATTCTCCCGTGTTCAATTCTATCATGGATTATTTTTGTCACCTAATGTTCCACATGGTTTATCAACTAAAAAGATGTTTAAGTTCACAAGCTGTACTTCAGCATTTTATTATCAAACTCACTTCAGTCTTTCTCGATGGTTAATGGATAAATTGAGATGTGAAAAATGCATCAAACCACCACAAAGCGATCACAATAAGTCAGTATTACTGATAAGTTACAATTGAAATTGAATAACTGAACAAGAGAGTTCTCTAATTCCGCTGATATTGCAAAACAATATCGGTATGTACTCTTTGCAGTAAATACACGATTTTCGTTTATAAACCACGAATGTAGCTAACCTGTTTCGAACGGAACTGGCGTATATTCTGAAGTTTTCCAGTTTCCGAAATTTAACGCACAGCTAGCCCCGAGAGTACGGCACTGGGAACTCGTCAATTTTTATCATATTCCATCACCTGACGCCGAGAAGCAGGCTGATAAAATAACACTGATTCAATAATCAACCATACAATTCGCTAACTTGCTAAACTGCAAAAAACAGGTGTTAATGCCAGAACTTTAGCCTTTCAATGTCTTTACAGGAAAAGTGCAATGGAGAAAAGCTAGAAAAAGCACTGCAAAACAAACCAAAAGGTTATATCTGTGCAGTTTTAGTTAAAAATATGCACTATCGAGGAATCAAGGACGCGCTGCTATATCAGACAAGGCAGGCAATGCCTAACGTGTGAAAAATAGATTAGCTGCCACATTCTCTTCTGTGGTACGTCACTGAACAGAATTACAAACGTTGCTCTGATTGTGTGCATGTAATGTCAGGAATTCTAAGGTTATGTCACACAAACCTAGTAGTATTTTTATAACTTCACATGAAAAAACTTGCAGTAAATTTTGAAAATTTATCAGTAAAAATAAGAGTTGAACCAACTCTTAGCATTTATTAGTTCACATCCAAATCTGTATAACAAGTATACGATATCACAAATGAATTATCATAACAATAACGGTAATAATGACAATATTATAATAACAGTAATAATAATAGCAATAATATAAAAAATATAGTAAAAGAGGGAGCAACCGTAAAGAAGAAATTGTACGCGACAACAAAAAAGAAACAAGATGAAGCACGTCGAAGGTGTACAATGAAATAAATAATTGACGACTGGATTTACATGCTCGGTGTAGTAGATGCTGTTTTTACAGAATGAAGAAAGAGGAATATTTCATAAATGAAATACATGATTCACTAAACAACTTTTCGTTAACGATAAGGGTTGGTTGAAGGGACCCGATAGGAATTCATTTCAACTTGATAGTCATGTTTGGTGTGATGCGATTTTGGTGGTTGTGTCGACTTTAAGTGTTTGCGATGATATCCATCTTGAAGACGAGGTGGAGCACAATGATCACAAGTGCCACGATCTCCCTGAAACACTCTTTGATCATTTGAGTTCAGTTATGCCATAAAAATACAAATTAACATTCAATTCCAAAATAGTTCAGAATCGATTTTAAGCTGGTTTATGTACTTAATGATCAGTACTTTTTTCTTTCATAATTTCATCCAATTTCAACATAACTGGCCATTTTTTACTCATAATTAGTGATGCCTAATTTGAAAAAAAAAATCGACGCGGAGTCGTGTTAAACTTCAGCTCCGACTCCGGTTCCAGCTCTGTTCTCTTCAAAATTTTAGCTTCATATTCAGCTCCAGCTCTATATTTTTTAAAAAGTTTCTGCTACAGCTCCGCGTTTTCGAAAATTTCATCACCGGCTCCATGTTTTTTAAAACTCTGGCTCCGGATGCAATTTCGGAGCTTCCGCTGCTCCGCAGCAATCTGGATCCGGCACAAACTTTCACACAGATCTTGGCTTCGGCTAGTGAATATTACTGTGATATTTTTTGTCGCTGCTAACATAAGGCATGAATCGCTGCTCATAACCATTCCATTTATCGCTGCCGAAGAGAAATGAGGAATGACCACCCACGTGGGCAATTCTTATATTATACGTTGTAAGAGGATTCACAGGTTTTAACGAACTAACATGAGTGCATACATAACATGTTTTTACGCATTTGTAATGTTGTATGTGGAATTTAATAAATGCAGTCACTGTCAAAAATAAATCGTTTCCGTCGAAACAGAACGAAAGATTTCATAGTTCCATTCTTTAAGCATTGTATAGCACGAAAATTAACACTCAGATCGCATTACGTTAACCGCTAAAATTTCACTACACATCACTTTTTATTTGATACACTCAAGCTGACTGTTTAGGCGCGTGTAGCCTAAAACATACCTGTCTTCCAGTTGGTCCACGCTCACCTGGCCTTCCAGGATATCCCGAATGTCCAGGCGCTCCTGGCTCTCCCTGAAGATGATTGTGAGCGCACAAGTTGTTGTGCATAATATTGTTAATGATGCATGGGGACTGATTGAAAACAAAAAATTGAAGCGTTCTTCTTTCGGCCATGAATAGTACAGCACAGAAACTAATCATTTTATTGCAAGATAATCTTTTCAGATAGATGATGTTGGCCATCAATTAAGTTTTCCCGTGACAAAATCTATTTATCTGATGAATTTTAGATTCCATACCGGTGGTCCCGGCGGTCCAGGCGGTCCATCGTATCCATCTCTGCCATCGAGCCCATCTTCGCCAGGTGGTCCTGGAGGACCACGCCTTCCAGGTGGTCCTTTCAGTCCGGGCACCTCGATTAGTTGACCAGGCGGACCTCGAGCTCCTGGCCGTCCTTGAGGTCCACGAATACCGGTTGGACCTTGCGGACCTGGTTCTCCTCGTTTACCTCAAACCTTCATTGCTTCAAAGTTCACTCGTGATTTCGATAGATTTCAATTAGTAATCGTATGGTCATTTAAGAGAGTATTCTTTTAAAGAGAACTTCATTATATTTGATCCGCAATTTCACACTGTTTACAGCAAACTGCGAGCGACCAAATTATGGTGATTGGTTTCCGCACTAGTTGTTCGTTACGCTATGAGGTAAAGTTAGGCCGCTGTGTTGTCGATTTTGAAAAAAACTGGCGAGTTGGAATTTCATCTTCTGCTTCATTCGTCTTTTCAATGAGTTATCTCCCAATGAAATTATTTCTTTTTCAAAAATCTTCATTTGTATATGTGCGGGAAAACATTTGAAGAAGGAAGCCTATTGATAGAACGATGGAATTATTTATTTAATTACTCAGTTGTTATTGCACGTTTCGTACATAGACCTCTTCAAGTCATCACTCCATTTATCACTATTATCACAGTTCACTGCTCTTCTCATCCATGTTCGGCCGGCTATTTTGTAAATACTGCCTCGCCATCTCATTTTCGCTCGACCCCGACTTCTTTTTCCGATTCTAGGTTGCCACTCTGTGCATCTCTTCGCCTAGTTGTTAGTGTCCATTGTTGCAATTTTTCTTGCCCACTTAATTTTCCTATCCTTTGCACATTTTACAATGTCTTTAATTTTCGTCACCCCTCTCAGCAATTTATTCGTTTTCCTATCCCGTAATTTAACCCCTACCATCAAACTCTCCGTCCTTCTTCGGGCTACTTCCATCACATTTTCCATTCCTTTTGTCACCGTCCATGTTTCTGACACGTATAACATCGCCACAAGAACACATTCATTGTAAAGACTTCATTTCGAAGCCATTACAACCCTCCTATCAGTGTAAAATTTTTCTATCTGTAAAACGATTTCCATCCGATTTTTATCCTTTTTCTCACTTCGACTTCTCCCTCTCTTTTCATTGATAGAAGCTGGCCGAGGTATATGAACTCGATGACTTCTTCAACGACATTTCCGTCAATAATGAGCGGTTATACAGTTTGTCATGATCTTTGTTTTCAAATTAGTTATCATAAAACTATCGGCACATTCCAGTGAGAATTTTTCGTCAATCACTTTTTTGAACCACTTATATTATATGATTTTCTCTCATTCCACGCCAAAATATTATGATTTTCCAGAATCCTAAGGTCGGAACCAAGAGCTTAAATACTGACGAATTTTTGAAGCTTCACCCAAAACAATAATTTCATGGACAAAATCGTTATTATTTATCACCTGGTTCACCGTCAATGCCATTCAAACCCTGTGGTCCCGGTGGCCCCCTTGGTCCTTTTGGCCCAGGTAGCCCAGGAGGGCCTTGTTCAGCAGATGGGCAGTCAAAACACCATTCCTGTTCTCGGTAATCGACACCCTCAACAGCATCTGGACCTGGCGGGCCATCCTCACCCGGAGTTCCATCTTCTCCTGCAGGAAAGAGGAAAAAATCAATGGTCTTCATTAATAACAGCGGGTTTGTTTCATAAAGCAGTCATCAGAATATTTCTGTTAATCCCACTTTTACAGAACAGTTCATTGATCAAATTGGCAATTAAGACGATTATGCTGGCAACTATACAAATTCGAAAATGACACAACTGGTGATAACAAATTGTATTGGAGCACAAAGAAAACAACCATCATATCCAGGTGGTCCAGGAGGACCAGGCGGACCAGGTTCACCAACCGCACAACTGCAACAATTGTCATCATTCGGTTCATATTCGTCGATTTTTGAGGCATGTGATGATCCAACACTGTATCCAGCTTGCCGTCGAAAGCGGCGATGAGAGACTCGAGCACCTAATATCTTTAAAAAATATTCTAAATTTACGATCAGCATTTGTTCTGCTTCATGTTTACGCTCAGCTGAACTTTCAAATTTCTGGAACCTTTCATTATTGAGTTTTTCAAAAAAAAGTGCGTAGCGTTTATCTGTTTATGTTTCCTTCGAAACTATCATTTGCAATTCTTTTTTTTTCATCTCTCAATCTCACTCTGATGATGTCAAAAGAATAACTAACTTTTTCAGTGAGAACAAATTCACTCCACATATTTTCGGCTCTTCGTCTACAGAATTCCACTTCATCCATCAAGGTGGATTGCACCGTTTGAATGTAATTGTAGAGAAGTGGTATCGTTAGCACACAAGATATTGTTGCTGCAGTACTGAAATTTGTTGGAATCACCAATTTTACTGCAAAAATTCTGTTTTCCTTGTTTACTTCTCTGATCCTCCTAACTAGGAAAATTTCAGTCTATAACTGCATTTGACCATGCAAAAGAGCATTATCATGGATATTGATATCATTTTTAATGTTTTCTAGGTCGTTATGTGATGAATTTTCATCAGTTCATTGACTACAATGTTGAGTTTTGGCAAAATTTTATTCAAAGACAATAACTGCAATAATTTATGATCAAGTGAAAGCGTTTTTCATTTATGGTCAAATAGGGATGCAGTACTATCATCGGCATAAGAATGGCGGAGACAGAATTTGTTGTGAATGAATTAGTAAATCATTCTAATTCTCAACATTTTTAAAAGCCAAACCTAATCGCAACTCCAAAGAACGCATAACATTTCAACCGATCTGCGTATTTCCTGCGGGACTCCAAACCGTCAACAACCTCTTTCATTCTTCTTTACAGAGCACAACTTTGCAAGTAACCTGATAAATCAACGAGTAACTGACTGAGAGAAGAATCAAATGAACAGCTTACGAAGTAATGTTGATATAATGCATAACTTTTGTGGCATAAATAAGTATTTATGGAACCTAGTAATAATAGCTATGAAAATTTGAAATAAATTACATTGGATGATGTTCAGAGCAGAAGTATTCGATTGCAAAGTTGAATGATGATATACGATTGTCGAAATGAAAGGAATCAAGAATAGGCGAAAGGAAGCCAACCCGATTTGGATGACTTGTTGAGAAATGAGATGAGTGATGAGAATCAAATAAAGAACCAGTCAAATATAATATTCGTTAAAAATAGACAGTGGTGGACAACAGCACACCATTCTAGTACTAGCGAAGCATCTTTTTTCGATAGCGCGGTAACTCGCTACTTTTTTCATACAGGGGAAAATTATAGCGATAGCTCCCGCTGTAATAACTTTTAGCGGCACAAAATAGCGACAATTTCTGTTATTTTCTTTCGTTAGCGATTTAGCCGGCCAATTTTCCAAAAAATTCCACCAAATCGCTACTTTTCATCTGCGAAGAAATGCTCATTCTTCCCAACATCAAGACATTTAATCCTTGTGCGGTGCTCAAATATTTATGACTCAATCAATGTCGCAGGTCAGATTAACCCGTAATGTATTAATGCACATATGTTGGCGAGATCTGAAGTCGGCAAGCCACAATGAAATAGTTCCGGGTAACTGAACCAGGAAGCCGATTCAATCTACCGAAATATGATTCAACATTTGTCAAAGTTTCAAGACAAATCATGTTTATGTCATCTTGTGAAACATTTCCAACTAATTTCAAGCTTCTTTCATTATGCACAACCACTTTTGATCACTAATTGCGGTGGGGGAAAGATGATAAAGTATTGCGTGAAAACACCTCTGCACATACCCCATTCCCTCAAAACGCTGTCTTCAACCTTCGAAGACTGCTCGTCTACGTCCGCTATCGCTAAGTAGCACTGCTGATAGAATTTGTTCGCATGTACATTTAGCCATATTGTGTAGCAATCAATGATTTCCTGCCGTAGCACCAGACTGTTTCTATGTTTTCACAATACAACCATATTAGAACACAAAGGTATACAGAGCTGCAGTACACGTCTACTATCGCAGAGTCATTATGACCTGAACACATCGGGTGTAATAAAATTGCATGCGGAGTATTTCCAGAGTAATTTCGTCTGTTCTTCTCAAAAATATAAGCCTAAGCCTAGCATATGAGGCTAAAATAATAACAATTTGCACGCACAACTTCTAGATTGGTAAGTGCTGGATTGGTAAGTGACCCAAACATTGCACAAGGATTGAAATATATTTACGCTTTAACACTAACAAGTACTAAATTCGAACTTACGTACTCGTGCTAGGGTTTGCAAAATCCCGACGTTTTTTCAATCCCGGAGTGGACTTTCGATCCTGGGACTTTCGATCCTAGGATCGGACAACTTTTGAAATATCGATGCGTAACATGCTTAAACACTTTTTTGAACCAATATGATCATAATTAATCAGAAAAGAGTTTATTCAACACAATGTTCAGCAAATACAACATATTCAACAAATTATTCAAATTCAAGCAAATGCAACAATTAATACACGTATTACTCAACAAATTATTCAACGAGTTATTCAATGACGAGAAACGTATTAGTTAACATTACAGTTAATTAATCATTTAACAATTATTAATCAACATATAATTCAATGCTGTTTGGAATAAGGTCTGAGAAACGTGAGAGCGTCGATAGTTCCATCGCTCACTCGCGTTCTCAGTTTTGAAAAAAAAAAGAAAACGTTGAGAAAGCGCGTTCACTTTCGACTCTCATTGCTGGGATCGTTTTGATAGACTGGAACAATTTTTTCATATTCGATGCCATTTCCTTTGTCTCTTCGTACAAATGCATTTCAGAGATTACTCGGCTCTTCACGGTATTTGTTGCTTCTTTTACAGCTTACGGAACTTTCACACCTTTCGGAAGCTTCAAGATTCAGCATCAATTCTATTTTCCTTGAGAGAAGTATATCATCGTCATTCGTATTCTGAGAGGGGTCTGTTGTCATCGGAGAGACACGCAGTGTCATCATTTTGTTCTCTCTTCTCACCGAACAGTCTCGAAGATAAATCCACCATCAGCTTCACAATATTTTCTCTCACAATCGCATACCTCATATAATCTGTTTCCATCTGCTCATAATCAGGATCGTTCATATATCTCATCAAGTGCACCAAAATTGATATTCTACGCTCGTTGATCCTTAGCACAAGTGCACGCAAAAGGTCATTAGCGACATTCGCATTCACTTTCTTCAATGCATCGACGGAGAACTCCAGCGTTTTATCTGCTTTCAACAAACCGATATCTCGACGACACAATGTGTTCGTAGCAATTTCAAAAACTCCCAGTGCACTGCATAAGTCTGTTTTTTTTTTTCATTCCGATCATGCTCACTGAGTTCATATGGGAGTTTTAGAGCGGCAAGGATCTGCCCAATCTTATCAGAGCATTTTACAAATTTTTTCAACATCATATTCAAAAAAAAAAAGGTGATGTACAACTCATTTTACTACATCTGAATGATCTGGGAATGATTAATGTGTGATTCGAGATGAATTTATTACCAAAATCGTACGAAATGACTCGCTTCATCAATCCCGAAATCCCAGGATTTTTCAAAATTATTGACTACTGGTTGTTGTTGATATCATTTTTTGCTATTCAATGGTTGACTAAAAATTTTTGATTGTTTAATATCTCAATAAGTTTTTCCAGACCGATCAACAGTGTTATTGTAAATTATGCAAGAAGATTTGTAAGTAGCGATTGGCGGACTAATTTCGCTCAAATTTTAGCAAAAACTGCCGTTATTTTTTTTCAATTAGTGGCAATTTCAACGAAGAGTTTTCGCTACCTGTTCGTTAGCGGCGCTACTAATGGATTATCTTAAGCGGAACAAAAACGCTTTTTTGGCGAATCAGTGATTAGTAGAACTCTTTTTTTTTTGATAGCGTGCTTATAACTGAGAACGGATGTACGTAATTTATTGAACGGTTTTCTTTCAGAGGACAGAGAATCATTTGTCTTCAGTGAACAAAGATTCAACAAATTCTTGATTCATTAAATTCAACAATATGAAGGAGACAAATTTCATTCGTATAATATTTTTTGCTGGTCTCTGCAGAAAGTTTTTGCCTTCGTTGAGAATGGCGATAGTTGCGGATCGATACTGAAAAAAGCAACCGCCAAAGACATGTGAAGAGAGATTTGGATGGGGTGAACACATGCTCAGAAAATTTGAGACGCAAGGAAGAAAGATCATGAGGAAGTATGATCGAAACTGATTTCGAAATTTCAGATAATAAAACTAATTCAAATCATTGTAAGTGGAAGGAGAGAGGGGTAGAGTTGGGCAGATATAAGAGAAAATTATCACAACATTGATTTCACGAAAACGTCTAAAATAGAAATGAAACATTAATATACCTGAAAACATTTCATTCATTACTGTCCATTAACAATATTATAAAATGTTTCTAAGAAAAACGAAAAAAAAAAACATTGACGATAAAATTTGATGTTATTCGTCTGAAACATTTCCAAAAATTGATTTTAAAAGATATGCTGAATTGTGCTAAACAAAATATGGATTGAATCTTGATTATTTAGCGCTGTTGATTAAAGTTATTGAATTGGCAGCACTGATTGGACTTGTTCTGGCGGCAGTACTGATACTGTGATACGGTGGATAAAATTCGATCCAGCGAACAAGCTGAGCTGTGAAACCGATCAGTGAGTTGGTCAAAAGCGATTCTACCAGATGTGCTTTCCTTCTCTTTCATTCCTTCGTTCCAAGAAAAAAAATGGATATCATGAAAGAAATCCTTTGATTAACATTCATTCCGCCTTTTCATCGTTGCCGGATCCGTCGTTGATCATCACCGATTTACTACCAGTCATTTATTACAGATCTTCTCACATCCGCCGACGTCTTACTAATTCGTTAGGTGATAATTGTATTTATCCAATAAACAAGATATCTTCCTATAGATTCCTAAAAAACACCACCAAAATGCTCTTTGTTTCATTTTTCACAAACACTAATGAATAAATGAACAATCAGAGAAGTGCACTCGCTGACCGATTTGAATAATGAATGAATTAATTAATCATGAAGTCAGTCATGTTCAACGCTCACTTACTCATGGTCCACACACATTTCAAAAACCATATCGCGCACTCATCCACAATATGCAAAACGATATTTATTTGCAAAGAAATCGAGAAACGATTTTATTCATGCTCTCTGCACACGTATGAAGTATGAGTAGAATGTGTTTATTTCATACAGTATTTGCGGAAATTACAATCAAGAAGAAATGGGGTGAGCGAAAAAAAATGGAGAAGAATTTTCACGATTTTTGGGTTTTGACATCACATTAATTGCACATTACTGACAGCTTTAGAGCAAAAAAAGAGAGACTTCAGATTTCATTTCAATCAGCAATCTTTCAGAACATCTCAGTAATTGCACTGCTATTGTTTAATAAACTTGAAGATAATCAAAAATTCACTTCAAAAAAGACGATATTGGTTCAAAAAACATTTACATGCAAACAATTTTTTTTTTCGATGATTGATGGGCGATACCAGTTCGATTCGAATCGTAATCTAAACCAAGTGACAACGAACAAGTTAATCGTCATTATTTTCATGAAAGTCATCTTGACTGAACTGACTTTCTTAAGGACATTTCACGAGAACCGTATTTTGATCGTTCTGCTCCGTTATTTAATAGCTCGAAAAGCAAAACAAAATTTTTATTTACTGCCTGCTCACAACATCTAGATTATTTTTGGATGTTAAAAAATAATGGCAGTGACTGTAGATATGAAGATATTTATCGGCTGGTTGTTGCTTGCTTATATGAAACGAAAATCTTCAAGAAGTAACTGAGTGACAGGAATTATTGAAGGTCTCGAGATAATGTCCAATATTTTTCGGTATCCACATTGGTTTCGTTCACTCAATTCATGTATTTTTTCATCAAATATTTCAACTTGTTGATTTGCTGACAATTTCGCAGATCCATGATGAAACGGAACGTGATGGATGCATGAGTGGCCGTAAAAAAAGATGCAATGTTTAAAGCACACTAACTAAAACATATCTTGACCGTATCATTCGTCAATCCATGTATGCCGATGACATCCATTAACAGATGTGATTTGATGTGATACCGACCGACCGGTTCATCTTGTTTCAAAGACGAAACGAAAATTATTTTTTAGTGAAGTTGTAAAATTCATTGCGATTCTTTTCATCGCAATTCCCTGTTCACTTTTTCTGGTGAATATTCGTTGTTTTTTTTTTTTTTAAATCGTTCTAAGTTCCGTTAGGGCACAACAAATGAAAGGCTTGTAAATAATCCATTGTGGTCATACTAAAGCCTTTTAACAGTAATATACTTTTAGTTATTTCATCGATGTCATTCTTTTTCGAATACTCATTGCAACTGAATCGCTGAAGAATGCTGCGCACATGGATGGCTACTTTAATTTATACTATTCATTGTTCAGGACAGCGCTTCTTGAAGGGCAGCGAAAATCTCTTTTTGGGGGTCAATATGAACTCATTGTCAGTGGAAAGGGGGATTGAAGAGTTTGAAGAATAAATTTCAACTGAGTGTTTTTTTAAAAAACAATTCTTTCACTATGATATAATATTTTAAAGCTATTTGGTTGAAGGTATGAAAAATGATTCGTTTAATACCACCGACAAATTCTTAGTAACAGATTTCTTGATAAGTGGATGAGTTTTTTAAATTTGTTCTGATTTATGCAAGAATGTAATGAGTTGACAGAAGAGGAGGGAATCGCAATTGTGTAGACTGCTGTAGGGAGATTGCCAAAGGGCCCAAGTAAGGCATAGGGCGTAACAACGTCACAATCATTGCTTCATTTAAGAGTTTTCATGATCCATGAAATTCATTAGTGAACTACTGTTCGTTTACTAATAATATCATTACAATTTCATGGAAACTTTATCACTAGCCAAAATTTCTCCATTTTAACTGGATGTAATTTAATAACTTCTTGTCATTAAAACATGCGAAGAAAATTGTCTGATCATCCTTTTGCAAATTTGCCAATACGGATAAATTGATCAATCAAATAATCACAAACGTTGCGAATTAACGAATCAGTGATCGGAGCATTCATTGATCATGGGGAATATTAATGGTCATCGTTGATAGATGGTGCACGATAAGAGTGCGAAATGATGAAGCGTAATGAAAGGAACACTTGACTGTGTGAGTTTATTTAATTTAATCAAAATTGAATGAAAAATAGTTGAATGCAAACACATACAATGACAGATGAAACGGTTGGAATTTCAAAGGAAATAAGCAAAAAGATAGCAGGAAACACAGATCGTGGATGCAGCAACTAACAAACTGGTAGCCAGGCGAGATGAATGATCAACTAACTGCATAACATAAATTTAATGGCCAATTGAGGTTAGGAGAATTCAATTAGGTAAGCTTCAGACTGTTCACTGCTCTTCGGAAAACAGAAACACTTGGTTAGAGAAAAATTTGGTCTTAGAACTTGTTAAGTTAAGGCAAGAACTTGTCGGAAACAATAACTGAATAAAAAGTGGAATGGTACTCAAAGGCGCATTGAATATCCATAGTATCGAACAAATTAAAACTCAGTCAAAATTGATTGATAAAGTTTATGAAACAGTGAAGTAAGTGATTAGATGTAGAGTTCGTGCATCATACTTATAGCGTTCGTTTTGTTTGATTGCATTTGACCCGCTCAGTTGGCTTCGGGAATTTCGACCAACAATCGACAACAGCTTTATCGCATTTGCATAACGCATCCTTGCATAACGACTGAGCATCTGTAAGTATCGAAACGAATTGCTGCGCGTAGCTGCATTATTCAGCTGCAACTTTGAACAAATATCACAATCTCTTTAGACAGCAATCACACAACGCTTTCATAACATCGTTCAAGTAAACAATCCACGAGAACGAACAACTAAATGACAAGCTTCTATACCGTTGCAAACTGGCTCATTCTTGTCGCAATTCCATGAATAATTTTCGAGATATTCGATTGCCGTATCATAACATTTTCGGTCGTCCACTGCTTGATCGTAACATTTATCGTGATGCATGCAACAACTTAAACGAAAAGTGTCGTATCTGAGCCATTTACAAGCAAAGAATACTTAAGTAATTTTTGGATGACTTCATTAACATCGGTGCTTTGAATTAGAACGAAAAAAATTAGAAATTGGGATGAAAAACGAGAAAATCATTACAACATTCATATGACGCAATTTTCGACATTATCAGCGCAAACGGAACTTAAAAATACGGAAACGCGATGAAATACGTCATTATCATTGAATAATTCTGTTCATAAAGACGCACAACACACACAACTTGACAAAATAGAACCACATGTCAGAATAAGGTCAAAAAAAAAAACGAAATCAGCACTCACTCATCGATACCATCCACTGGTTTTCCAGCACCACCAATACCGCACCAACATCCATAATTATCATACACAATTGCACTATAATGAAATTTACATTCACACATTTGATTTAAATTCCATAACGATCGCAATCTAGTAGTTTGAGAACTGTCCGTGATGTTGCTGAACGAAGTTGAGTCAGCGAACACAACAAAAAATAAGTGCATAATGATGGACAGCAGAGGCGATAGTTTTGTGGAGAACGAAAAATTGTGAGGAGGTACCATTCTGGTTCTTAACCAACGCTCGAACGAAACAATCTTAAAATATGGATCATGTCTGTATTTGATTCGCTATTAAAAGTATGGTATTTGCACACAACGTTTTAAAATGAAAATGTATCGTATCGTAAGCGAAAGCTGAACCAGTGACTATTCCATGACCGATCGAACCGCATTTATAGATTCTTGAAAATGATGCACCAGTTTGATCCAATAGCTTAGCAAACAACTGCAATGAGACCAATCGATGTTCATGAGTTATAACACAGCTTTTTGAGCCTTGAAATCTCCCATGCTTAACCAATACTAATGTTAATGCCATACAGCTAGCTCAGTTTCTCCAAAAAACGCCCGGAATTCATAGTTTTATTACAGTAAACGCTAGACTTACTGAAAAAAAAAACATTCCTCTTATTTGAGGGTAGTCATCCGAACATGATAAGATAAGAATATACACAAAAACTGATTAAAAAGTAGAAGTCGATTGAATGTACATTGAAGCGCTGTAATTCTCATTTTACGCCCTCCAATTGTCATCACTGCGAATTAGTTTTCAAGTGTAATATTCGATGAAAGGCTTACAAACATAAACAATTCAAAAATTAAACAATCAACAATACAATACACTCGTACGCATTTTCGCCAGAACAAACACATGATGACTGTTACAAAAATTATTGAATGTCGAATGATGTATGATCCAATGTCCATATTGTATGATCCACTAGAATTCAAAGTAAATTCTCCTTCTATATCCCTCATGAACTGTGCTAGCTCCACAAGCCGTCTCCTCAAATTAATCCAGTGCTGACTTCTCTCTTCTCTTGTACAATTACTTTCACTTTAGAGTACCTCATTATCAAAGTGTGTGAAAGCGAGGTAAGTGTGGTCTTCCATTCAGCCATTGTCGTCAATTTTCCTCCCATTCATCCCCCTCCATTAACTACCACGTTGCACAAACCCTTCTCAACTCTCCCGTCTTTCCTTAAAGTGCTTAGCTAGTGTTATATTATTATGGTATCTTCAGATCAAAGAATGTCGTTGCATTAGATTTATGTTTCTGTTTTATCGCAGTATGCGTATACATCACAAGAAAACTTCAAAACAATTTCACATACTGATCAATGTCCTTATCATCACCGCAAATGTGTATTCATTTAGATGTATGTTCAAATCATCATTTTCATGCTCAACGTTTAAATATTTTACGAACAAATGCATATAACATATAAGATGTGACATATTTGTGCGCTTTGCATCATGAAACAGATACAAAAATTATAATATGAGTGGACAGTAATTAAACATAGCAACATAAATCACTCGCATTCGTAGAAAACACGGTGAGAGTAATCCACTGAACAGTTGAGAACAACAAAGAAATTTTTTCGGCAGAAGAAAGGAAGCACTGACTGTGAAAAATCTGGAACTTTAAACAAATTAATGAAACAATTCATTCGACGAGTCCGTCTTAAATAGAAATGCATTTTAATTTTGGTTTGTTTCAATGCCTAAATCTTTTAACAAGTGTTTGAATGTTACATAAACCACCGCGCAAATGTTTCAGTTTCAAGTAGTGATAAACTTCGTTTATAAATAATCATAAACATAAGTGCAATATGATCGCAATGAAAAAAATCAATAACGAATCGAACGTTTTTCTTGCAGTGGATTTCTGGTCATTTCCCCAAAGTTTTGGATTTCGTTTGCACTATCCATCCGCGCTGACTAAACGCTTTCAACATCATCGTTCAATCTGAGTTTTTTTCGCATGATCATAACCACGCAACATATTTTCGACAATCAGATGCACCAATGTTTGCCATGCTCTGAGGTCTTCATTTGACAAACGATTCGTATTTTCTAATTCTTCGATCATCGCCAGTGTGAATTCATCCCAATAAACTACCTTCAACAATAGCACTAATAATCATTGTACTGAAAATTCTAAATAAACATAAATGGTTCAGTGAGATGTAATTGTTGAGAAAAATGTGATTCTTATGTCCGCATCAGTTTACGTATTCTTTCTTCACAGCAATGTATCGTTCAGTGATTTTCTTGGATACGAACAAATGAAAAGTTGTACTATGCTTGATCTTCGAGGCAATTTATCAACGACATTCCAATGACAATGAACAGCTGATTTGATTGTTTGGCAGAGGTATTCACTAATTTGGTTCATTGCACTGATAACAACCAAAAGTCACCAAGATTTTGCATACTGAGCGGATGTTTGGGAAAACAGAGCAAGCAACACGAAATTGGTAAACATCCGGTGATGAGATGTGGTCAAATAAAAGTCGAAGCACTAACCAACCTTAAACGATTGAACTGTGTAAGCTGCATGTTGCTTTCCAAGACAATAACATGCGCACCTCAACTCAGATATATTATGTAGGATTTCGTCCTATAAAAATACATCGAACAAGCAAACCAAACGAGGAGATAAATCACCTATTTACCAAGAAAAATTATTTTCCTAATCGAGGCATTAACATTTTAGAAAAAATGGGAAAGGATCAACTCACGATGGATCAACTCACAAAAGATCAACACGTTTGTCTGCACGATGGATTTTTGTCGTGCATCGTGAACTATTTCACGTAGATATTATGTTCTTGTGCTGAGTGGACGACAAGAAAACAGTCTGAGACATACCTATTTGTGTAACAACATCTCGTAATGATGACCTCAATAAACATCCTAATCTAACACAATATTGGTTATCATCCAAGCATAAAAACAATAAACAAACCTGCATTATCATTTGAACGAAATTATACATCTGTTCGGCAATCTGCATAAGTATGAAATCTTTCTCATCATCACCGCTCGCATGCTTATCCAACTTCAATATACTTCCAACCGCCTCATCTTTTTCACAAACGTTTCTTAGTACCTATTGGTTCAATAATTTAGTGAATTTAACTCAAACTTCAATAAACTTTTATTGTTCAAAAATGCCGATAAATTCAGCAACAATAGCTGAAATAACCAGAATGTGATATTAATAGCGATAATTATAAAAACAGCACGAATAAGTGATGATATCAATGAGGATAATAGCAATAGTAATAGTAAGGGTAATAATAATCATAACAATAACAATGATAATAGTAATAATAACAATATTAGTAATAACAATTATAACTAAGACAATAATAATGATAAGGAATAGCAATAAATATCAAGACGTTTCGTCTGCATAGGAGGTGAAGTAGAAAATAGATACAGTTAAAATGATGAGTATGGAACGTGCCTTTACGAAGTAATCATTATGGACACTCAGATAATTCCATACAGTTTTCAGCCTTGCGAACTGCAATCGTGGACGACCTGTTATACGTGCGAATAACGCTCCCATGTTCAACTCAAAAGCATCATTTTCATTTAATTCATTCTCAGAAACATTCACACCAAAATGTTCTAGTAATCGCGGAACTGACATCCAGTGTGATATAATAATGCATCGCAGTACATTTACGAAACAATCTCATAGTAATTAGATAAAAATTTACCAATGAATGACGTATCATAAACGAGTTGAAAACATTCCTGGTTGATGACTTCCTCGGATATTTTCAGTTCAACGACCAATCGTGTTGAATATACAAACTGAAACTGCTGTAACTGTTCCATCACGAGGAACAATATAATCTGCTTTAAATACAAAGACATACGATTGAGCAGATATGGAGCATACACAGAACTTTCGATGGTAGTGAAACGAAAACAAAATTTCAGTGTGTTTATAATTGTTGGAGGATTTGAAAATTTTTTACAGAACTTAATTCTTCATAATCGTCGATGAGAAGACGAAGGAGAGCATGAAATTGGAATAATGTCAGAATATCTGCAGCAATGGAGTCAGGCTTGAATTTGTAGGAGATTACTTCGAAAGTAGTATCGAATGATGCTATCGCTGAAGAAGAGCAGCAATAAGATAATGTAAAGTGATTAAGTTTGCTTGACAGGATGGAGCTAAAATCCTAAGTGCTGCTAAAAAGAGATTAGCAAGCAATGGCTATGAATGAGAATGCTACCAAAAATGGTAGTTCAAGTCATTAGAAATTAGGACGAAAAAATTCTAAGTGAACAACGTTCATTTCAAGATTAATTCTTGCTAAAATCTACGCCAACGAATGCCTCTTCCAATCATTTTTGAGGAGCACCTTTTTGAATCGGAATGAAAGCGCACTCAATGATTGACGAGCGAACTCGTCGTATTTCAATCACTTTATCAAATCTAACAATTCTTACGCTATGCTTACAATTGTATTACTTCATCGACTGCTGACTTACTATTAGGTATGCAGCACTTACCTAGATCAATCCATAGAGTTATTTACTTCTTCGATTGAGCTATCGACTTTTGAAGGTCAGCGATAAACATCACTTGCATGATTTTAACTAATGTTCCCTATAAACTGACGAAGAATATCAAAGTATCATGATAATTCAAAACAGTCGAACGATGTCCACGTTTCAATAGTATCAGTTTTTAAAGGCGATCAGTATTCGATACTCGCAAGTATCAGCATTCAAAAGTAGAGTTGACTAGTTTCAGTCGCCACAACACCGATTGGCATTGTAATGACAGGCCTGGAATATCGAAGATCAAATATTTAAAAGTAACTATCCAACCTCAGTCCATTCCTATGAAAGTCACACTCGTCACAATAAACCCCATGAACTAGCTCATTTCTGTTGTATTCAACCCTTTGCGTAAGCGCTCGTTCTCCGTGATTATTCACGTTTATTGTCTCTGCTGATACTTGTCTTCGTTCTTAACCTAGTGAATAATCCATTCAACACTCCGAACAACACAAACATTTCATGATGATGAAAACAGTGAATATATTCAAGTCATGTAACGATTGAATGAGTAATAATTGCATGCGAGTGTGATACTAACGATCTTGTCTTAGCACTATAACAATAACAGCTGGTGAAATTACACACAAAATTGTGAAGATTTTGCATAATACAAACTTTTTTGGATATGCTCGTACCACAGAAATGCAACAGCGAAAAAAGATTACCAGTTGTGCACTTCTTGGACTTCAGAAGAAACAATTAACGATTCACAGCATCTGAGAATGGATACCGTTTGGAAATTTGCAAAGGTATTTTGCGTGATGAAGCAGTGGCCGATTGTAATGAAGATGCGACCGATAACTCAACAGATGGATGAGGACGAAAATTTTATCGACATGAATTATCAGCACATAATTTTCATCGCATTTCTTATCACTGCATCGAATGAGTCACTCTATTGTTCACATGAAGAAGACACATTACAATATTATGGAATATATACAGGAAGAATAAAGAATGAAATGAAACGAAAGAATCGATTACGTGAGCGATATGTATGCAAAGGCGTTTCGGCTCCAAACTGATCATTTATGACTAGATTAATAATGATCAATTATAAATTAACACAAAGAATGAAAATAAAAACAAAAGCTCATTTATCAACATCATCATTATCAGGATCATTTGATGAATTGAGGTTGCAGTAAGAAACAATTCAGAATTACTGTTATAACAACAGTCAAGATACAACGACTTCTGTGAAACAAAAACAACAATCAGTGGCTGCCTAAGAAGTCTACTCATGAAAAACGTGAATCAACGAGGTCAAAGATATGATCATTTTCTATGAATAAGGTCTATTCCTGTAATCGATGCGCAAACGCTCTAATGCAGTGATTCACAGGCCATTACCCCTAACGCACCCCGTCGGTTATGCGATGGACCAACATAATAATCTTTGATGGACTCATAATCAATTGCAATTTTTTACTATATCAAAAATCAAACTTCCAATGCTTTCCGCCTAGAGAAGAGTTTTTTCTAATTCGAAAAAACTTTTTCTGGTAGACTAAGAGCCAACATAAAATATCTTCTCTTATTTCTCAGTCCTTCACTCAGCTCTGCCTGTTATATGCATAACGAGCAATTCGGGATTGATCATGTGGCTCTACTATCATATCAATGCTCAGTTTGTTTATCAAGCAAATTTCATCAAGATATTAGAGTTTTATTAATCAATTAAATAACTGAATGCAATGAACAAGAATAATACTAAAAAACGCCATAATGTTTAGTTGATTGTTGTTGTTGTTTAACAATCCGTTGTAAGTCATTCGCTAACATATCCACCTCACGTGGATCCACTCGATGACCATGGTCTGATCTTGTTACACTTCGTATTGATCGTGTTGATCGCGTCTGCAAATTTCAATAGCCTCTATATGATAAATGTGAATTATTGAGCATGTCATATCCACTGCATTGCAATTCGAATTTAATACTTTCATGGATGGACAATAAGATTTCGAAACAAAAACAAGTGAAGCAACGAACCCTTGCAACAGTGTTGTAATCGGATGCGGGTCGTGCCTTAATACTAATATTCAAATGTGTTCGTTCACCCAACATCCAACTATGCTTCAACGCTTCACTCGCACTCAGCCGTACGTCTGGATTCGTTTCGAGAAGGCTGTCCACGAACTGTTTCGCCGATTCTGAACCAGACCAAAACTAAACATGACAGTTTATCAGTCAATGCTCGTTGCTATCGTTTGCCCAAAGAAATGTGGTTCTCCCTCCCAGAAGGCTCAATACAACACATTAGCTAGTCAATCAGCCACCCCAACCCCCATGGCAACAATTTGAAGAATTTATTTCTAGTTTTGGATGCAAACGTTATGATTTTGTTAGCTTCCCTTTTGCCAAAAACAAAAGTGCATGTTACTGTTGGCTGCTTCGCTTCATAGACTTCTCCTAATTAAGACTTCATAGACTTCTCCTAACCGTAATGCTCAGATGAATGTCATTGTGTCATTTGCGTAATCAATGGGTCTGTCATACTAATTAATTTGTCGCTAATGAGAGCTCATACTCACTAATCATTCAAATGAGGATTTAGGTGTGTCACTTCATAAGTATATACAATAAGTGAGAATTACTCAATGAGGCATTATTGGGTTATAGAGCATTTCTCAGATGATAATATATTGCTTAATGATATCTGATGATGAGATGTGGTAAGAAACGAGAAAATTAACTGTCAGGTGAATTCTTTCGAAGAAGATATCTGATAAGTAGAGAGCAAATAATCATTCAACGATTGAAAGTCGTAATTTTCATAATTTTAAAAACACAGACAGATTTCAGAGACATCGACTAAATGTCTTTCGCATTTTTCAAAAAAAAAACAAGATTTTCAATAGAATACGTCAACATCGAAATGAGTCATCCTTTGGTCCTCTTTCTGTGAAGGTATTTCTGTTCATTCATCATTCAATTATAAGTTACAATTTCTTCTTTGTTACATTCCCCATGAAAAATGATTGATGTGTTCGTGATTAGTTGAGTGTTAATGAGGAAGTAAGTGAACAATTTTCTAGCTTCATTCGAAAATAAGTGCAAAAGGTGGTGTTATAGCAGCTGGACGTAAAATTTGAACATAAGCGATTGTTCGTCGTAAATAGACAACGATATACAGTTAACAATGTAAACATGATAATTCAACTAATTTCCTATATATGAACTTTATATAAATCAAGAGTACAGCATTGAATGTGCATATAAGTTTTCCCACGCGACGTAGTTCACTATTAGTAATTGTGCATTTGTACAAAACTAAATAATTGATGGACGTATTAGATGTGTCCAGGGATGAAGCTCGGAATCGATTGGTACAGAACTGTGTTCCGGGGCTTGTCATTGACTGACATGCCACCTGCCCATTATTGTGGACATTTTGCTTTGGAACGTCTATCTAGAGGTCAATGCTCAACTGCAACTAGTGCCTCATATTCTTTGTGTCTACTCGTCAAGTTCTTTGAGCACTAGAGCAGCTGACATATCGGAAGTGTTTACGTATCACAACTAGATTGTTGACGAAGAATCCATTTGAATAAGACTGCAAAATGTGCTAATCAAATGAAGTTAATGTGAGCTGAGAGCAGGGTGGGATAATAAGAACCTTTATGATTATTGACTTATATTATTACTGATTTCAATACTGGGATTATTGCTGCAGTCATTATCAATACTAGCGTGAATGAAGATATTTGCGTGATTACAAGGCAATTTAATGAAGATGCGATTTGCTCGAATGCTTTTTAAAACCCGTCCAACAAATCTATGCAATACAAAAGACGATAACCAGCTGTGCCTCTGGGTATTGATTTCAGTTAGTTTAATTATTTGCACAGAAACAGCGATTATCGAATGAATGGCGTACAAACGGCTCATCAGATTATACTTGAATACGTTTACCAACAACGTGTTTCTTCCGTTTTGCATGGAAATGATTTTGAAAAGATATTCGAAAGTATATTAAGGAATGTTCTCAAACGAACATAATTTACCTCAAAAAATTTTTATTGCAACCATTTACGGATAAAATGTACACAATTAGATTCCAAAAATCAGTGAACAAGATTTTTTTGGCACTAAAAATTTCAAAATTTGATTAAAATTCCCTTATAAATTCATCGTAGTGGCATGCTCACATCCAATGAATGGAATAGGTTAAGCAAAAAATAGACATGCCATGCCGTTTATATGACGAAATTTAAAGCGACGAAAACGTCCCACGCCATTTTCTTTCAAACTGTCAAAACAGAACTTGAAATTACCTGAGGATAATAAACATAATTAGCTGTTATAATATGTGTATAAAGTCGTGAGCGGCACTCATCATCGAATGGCATAATACCCGACATTAAAATATACGCAATCACACCAACAGCCCACATATCAACTTTTTCCGTGTAGGCAACTCGTAACAATACCTCAAATTACTCACTTCATTTACTCTGTTGCTGAACCGCAGATTTATGAGTGAACCATTCATTATCAGATACTTCATAGATCACTGATTCGAAAAATAAGTAAGTAAACAGAGTGCATCTAAAATCAATCAAACTGTGAAGCTTATTTATAGAAAATTCACAAGACAATATTAATGCGGCTTACCTCAGGAGCAATATACTCGGGAGTACCACAAGTTTCAGACATTTTCTCTTGCGGACTGCGCACTTGATGGGCCAAACCGAAATCAGTGATCAAAAGACGCGCATCTGGTCTTGAATCACTGTATAAGAGATTTTCAGGCTTCAGGTCACGATGTGTCACACGAATACTGTGCAGATAAGCGAGACCACTCAACAACATACGAATTGCTTGTCGTGCCTCAGCTTCCGAATAACGACCTTTCGAAACGACACGATCATACATTTCACCTCCACTTGCCATTTCCATTACAATAAATAATCGTGACGAAGATTTGAATACCTCAAACAATAAAACATCACTTTTTGCCCGAACTGAATGAAATCATTTAACTTAATGAAAGTTGCTCAGATTGAATATGCAATGAAAAATCAATTTAGCCTCACCTCTTCGAGTCGTATCACAAAGGGATGCGATAATCGACTCAATATATTAAGTTCATTATTGACAGCACCGCAATCTGCAGAAACAAGTTTGACTGCATAAAACTGTCGTGTTAAACGATGTTGCACTCTCAGCACTTGTGAGAAGGATCCTTTGCCAATCACTGATAATACTTCATACTTACAAACCAATCTGGAATCTAGTCGAACTGTTGGCCTCTCGTTGCTAAGTGGTTGTGTCACGATCGATTCACCAATTGGCATCTCACCACCTACCTGATAATCTCAACTTCATCAGAGCACTTTGATGATTATGAAGGTGAAATAAAAATGATTCTGATAAAGACCGACATGATAGCATCCATGATGTACGATGGAACTGTTCACGATGGCTATCAGTAAGTTTCATTGACAAATCACTTAGCAATTGGTAAATATCAAACTGCCGACATTCATCAATTCTCAAGTGAGGAAGCATTATGATCGGTTAAGGGATAATATTTTCATGAACAGCAAACGTATTAGTGCTGTTAAGTTTATCCAACAATACTGATACTCTTATTCTGTTCGTGATTATACTAGCAATGATGGTGCTGATGAAATGAATTATGTGCGCTTGATTTTACGAATGATCGGAAGGACGTGTGTCGCTTATGACTTTGATTCGAATTTTTTGCATGCAAGGAACCGATTATATGTTCAGGCAGAGATGGGTAGTAGTGCGCTATCGCTACTTATTTCGCTAGCGGTAAAATGAGCTTTTCGATAAGTGGCAATAGCGTGCTACTACCCATCTCTGTGTTCAGTTATTACTCAGAATGAAAGCACAACTCCAATTGCAAATGAAAATGCAGAAAGATGTGGAACTTAAAGAATGCACGAAAATACCGTTAAAAGTTTGCTACTTCATGAAATTTTCATTGTAGGAAATATTTATTCTATTTATTCAATATTGATCATCAAGAGAAGATTTCAGATATAAGTACACAGCGTTTTATATCATTATGAGTGCTGAATGCTACAAAAATGATTTTTTTGTTTAAGCATCCAAAGCAATCAGTAAATTCACTTTAGTTTGTTTGCGTTGATCTTAAAAGATCCTTGCTCAACATTCATTTCTGTATATTGCTATTTCTGTTGTCTACAGGATAAGTAGACAAGCAAAACGACTTCAATCGAACTCAACAAGATGCTATCGTCATGTGATGACTGACTGAGGTTTATGCGTCATTAACCGTTTGTTGATGGCTGTATTCAAACTTTCATAGACTTCATTACATTTGTTCATAAATCATGAAAACACTAAAGGAAGTTTGGAGTTGACGGCCGTTTTCAGTCAGTAGCATTTGATGTATATGTTTTGATGGTATGAACGTTTCGGTTGAAACAATCTCGCTGAAATGATGAGTTTCGAGTTTCATCACTGAAATCAGTCAGTCACTCTGCATGAATTATTCGAGTGATAAAGTTTACGCTCCCCATCAAAAACACAACTCCACATTCCGAGTGAGCACAAATGCAGACTGTATGAAGTGAATTGAACATTTAACGAATGCAAAGAAGTTGCGTTGAGCACCGTATCTTTCCATGAATCGTGACAAAATAATTCATGACGCATTAACTACTTCCTGATAACACAGGAAATTGCATCGCTTAATACTGTTTGATATGTGATTTCACTGTATTCCTCTTTTGTTTCCTCTGGTATTTATTATGAAATCATAAATAAATGAAATGGTGATTCTGGTTTTCAGAATTCAACTGTTCTGTTTCTAGTTAACAAAAATTTCATGTGATCACTTTCTGCGACTGGTTTCTGTGTGGCCATTCAGTGTGCTCATTCATTGACTCAATTCAGACTTTGCATTGAAAAGGTTTTGCAAAAGAACGCAATAGTGAATGGAATGAATGAAGACGATAGAATTAACATTAAAAGAACATTCTTGCATAAATAGTAATGGAACAGTCATAAATAGTCATAAATTCCGTTGTTTGCTCGCTATTCGGATAGCTTAAATAAAGCTATCTGGATACCAAGCAAACAACGGAATGAATAATGTAGAGTTTCTTCATTGCAAATTAGAAGTGCATTATGAAGCAAACAATAAATATACGAGGCAACGTCATCAACCTCTAACATGTAATCGCAAGTTTCACGTAAAACTAAAATCGCTACCGGTTATTGAATGCTCATTTGATCAGCTGCAGCTTAATCATTATTTGCACTACATTCTGCAGCAACAACTGATAGATTTGCTTTAATGACCGGCAGATTTAACGTTTGAATCATCAGCGCGTAAGTAACCGCACCGCACGTTTGACTAATTCCAGTGAAAAGTAAAACATTTTTGTATCGAATTCGAATCGTACTGATGAATGGAAAGAACTTGCGTTGATTGCTGCATTCAAAATGAGTGGATGATCTTCACGAAATCGTTCAGTGCAAACTCGGAAAAGTAAATGCGAACAGATGCAGAAATTATAAGCTATTTACTAAAGAACGTTTCTGTGATCCAATATCATATCTCCTTTTGTAAACTCATTCAATCAACTTGCACTATTCACTTGTCCAGTAAGTGAACAAGCATATTTGATTAGGTCTCTGCTTGTTTATTTTCAGCCAATCGAAAGAGAAAATAAAATTACTACATAGAATACACTTTGAAAGTGAGAATCCTTTAAAAATAATGATAATATTCATTTAGCAAATGAAATGAAAAAGCGAATAGAACAGAAGCAAAAAAAAATTGCTAATTACTCGTCTGAAAATGCATCAATAAAATATAATGAAACCGATTGGAAATGATGGATTGTCGATGGTTTTTTTTTAGTTAGTATGCCTGAACACTTCACTAGAAAGCAAACCGAAAAGTGAAAAGGAAAATAAAAAAATACAAATCGAAACGATAGATAAATAAAGAGAAATAAACAACTGACCGGTGGAGGGCATGCTTGGGCAAGTGCACTTGGATCAAGACGTGATTTCGCGAAGAGATTGCAAATAAAATTCGATTTTTTATTATTATTTGTGCTATTATTGGTGTTATTTATGTTGTTACTTTTGTTGACATTGCTATTAGTATAATTACTGTTGTTGTAATCATATCGATTGAACTGGGCACTACGTGTGACTATACTACCATCAGAGGAGCTTTGCTTGTTGCCCATTTATCGGGAAGTGATAACGACTGAGTGATTCGTAATTTGAATTGAATTATGATTCGTTCTGAAATTATAGGATCGTTTAAGAACGGTTCAGTGGACTACAAACAGTCATCAATGGAGGTTACGAAATGAATGATCCGTGGTGTAATCAGCTGGGCGTCATTTTAGTCGAAGAAATAGGGTGGAACTACGAAACGAATGAATAATTTCAAATATAACAGATCACTCGACTGAATATGTATGTGAGAAAGGTTATGCTGAATGAATGTAATTATAATGGGTAACGAACAATATGATCATTAATGATAATAATAATGATGATATTAATTATAATAATGATGATAACAATGATAAAAATAATAATAACAATAACAATAGCAATAATAATAAATAATAATAATAATCATAACAATAATAATAATAATCACCTAATGAAGTCGCATGTAGTGACATCAAGCAGAGATAACTGAACTGAATCCAAAATATAGCATTTGCAAGCTGAACAAAATTCACAACGATCTGAGAGATTGCGTGAAAATCAAAGAAAGTCAACGATCGTCCAACATAAATTAACACTGTTACAGCTTTTTTTAGAAATCGGTATCGAGTTAGGTGAAGATGTATGCAGCAGAATTATAGCAGCAGTAGAAATGTAATATAGTAATAATTGCTGTGGCTGCAATAGTTTGATATGTGTAGCAGCAAACAGAAATGAAGATTCACATCAACTCACGCAATATTCACAAGCATCAGAGTGATGAACGAGTGGAACAGTAATAATAACGAGCACAAAAATGCGAATGAAGAGAAGTAAAATATGAAAGGAAGGAACCAGATCTCGTTCGTATGTTCTGAGAGTGATTGAAGAACAGAAGTGCTATCTTTCTAGATGTTATAATATCTACCAACTGATCTTCAAGTTGTACTACTATTATTGTTGCTGTTCCTCATGACAACTATTATCATTATCATCATCACCTATTCATTCTTGTTGTTCAATCTTTCTCTCTGACATCAATCCCTATCCACCTCTTCACATACCACTTCCAAAACTTGTTTTGTCCCAGTCAAAACTCCCTCCGTGTCTTGTTTTGTCTTCTTATCTTCGAACGACTTGTCTATTTCGCAGCATTTTGCCCTATCTTCTTAGCTGTATTCTACTACCACCTTTCACCTGTTCTTCCATCTCAAAAAGCAGGCTTCACCTGCCTATAGTACCTATACCAACTTGTTTAATATCTTTCTGTCTGTCCATTCATTCAATTATTTATCCATAACATCACACCTCATAAACTCTTTTCGTTTGTTATTGTTGTGATAAATTATTGCTCGAATTAAGATTAAGAAAGTAACATCGGCATAACAACGACAAGCACTACTCAACATTTATACCAAAACGTAAAATTTATATTGAATGAGTCTGGTGTGAACTTTCATCCCTCCTCTGCTCACATCATCAAGAGTGTTTCGAAACCTCATCAATGCTATTTTCATCCTAATAATTGACAATAGAGAAGGAATTTGTGGCGACAAACAGTAAGTATCAAGAATAACATTCAGTAAAAGCTGAACAAATATTGAAAAGGAGATTCAGTACAACTGCTCAGTTATTCCAGTCGATTAAAGCCTTCTGAATGTGAACGAACAATATGCGGTGTCAGCGTTTCTTATAGCATCCCACCGAAAGGATTATTGAAATTGGAATTCAGTTTGAAAAAAGTTGCCAAATAAATCTTTAATTGGAATTCAGGAGTCTACTGAAAAATTCAGTGGTTGGAATCGAATCAGAACAAAATGGGCATTCGTTTTTTCACTTCAACAAATTTACACACAGATTAATTACGATAGTCAGTTATCGGCACTGAAATCATGTAATTTTGAATAACATGTGAATTTTCTCACAGGTGCTAATTTTAGTTATAAGCTTAATTGCACTTTAGTTTTGCTCTGTAATACGTCTACTGAAGCGTGTTTGGAGTGAATGCAAGACAAACAGATTGTTCTGTTTATGAGGTGATTAATTTCGAAGGTTTATGAAGCGAATATTCACTGTTTCGCATCCTTCTTCGATGAAGTGTGATTCAGTTTGCTATGTGAAAGGAAAATCGAAAGAGCGTAGAGCAAGGGGGTAATTAAGGAGATTTGCAAACTAGTGTCTCATGGAGTTGTTATTTTATGATGGAACGCCATTGTGATGGTGTTTTTTTTTTCACTCGGGTATTCAAACGGGATAACATTCTTTTCTCTCAACTATTTCCTGAGTATTTTCAGCTCGCCCAGGGCTGAACAAAGGTCACTTTGTCGCAAATATTTCGTAACTTCTTTAATATGTTTCGACGCTGTTACTTCTGAAAACAAGGCAACGATCTAGATTGGTGGTTGAAATCAATTCTTCAAAACGCGCCTCATCATATTCCAAATTGATCATTGAAATATGTCCCGCGTTATGCTCCCACTGAGCACGAACCTAAATTCACTTTCTTGACCAATTGTTTAATAGGTTCATATCCACGTTGTTGCATTCATAAATTTCTAGTCATCAAAGTGACCGAATTAGTTCACATTCACTTTTGCTTGCACTTTAAGGCTCATGATTTTAAAAACATCGATAATTCTTACTTCAATTAGATGCGAAATTGATCAAGAATAATTTTTCATCGGATTCAGATGATTCATCAAAAATTTTTGTGTTTTCTGTAATATTTGCATTAAATGATATCGATTCCTTTTTGAATGTCTAACAATTTCTACTTTTTCAATCGCTTATGAATGTATTCTCAAGCGGTGTAATACTTCTTCCATGATGAACGACAACATTTGTCATGATACTAATGACTAAAATGCTTGCAAGTGTTTCGTTCATATTTGTTCAATTATGTTCTCACAGTCCTTACACAAGGACTGATCATAGAAATAGAAAAGGAGTTCAAAATGACAGATTTTATGCACGTCTATATGAAAACTCACGGCAGTTCAGATTTATATTCACCGAATGATGAATTTCCACGTATTTCTTAATTATCAGTTTAATAGAGCGATTGTTTTTCCATTCATCTCGAAGATAATTCTTCGAATTCACTACATCTTCTCGAAAAAAAANAAAAAAAATTCTCAAATATTCACTGCATCTTCCTTTTTCATGCATAAATGAACTTGCTGACAAATTAAAATTTTTTTCATCGCTGACGAACGTCTTTTCATTGTTTTTCCTTGTCAACTGTAGCGATTCATAATTTTTCTGCAGCAAGAGTAAAGTTTTAAAAATACTTATTTCATTCCAGAAAATTAATTCCTTTTCCTCCACCAACAAATTTTCGAATCAGTTTTCGAGTTTGTCCTGACAACATGCGTGAAAATAGTAAATTCCCGTAGAGTGAGAGGTAATGACGGCCTAGCAGACTATCGAAGGGGTAACGGAGCTTCTAGAGGGATGGCATTCAACGCATATTTTCACAATATATTTTGCTGTCTTTGAAAACATCATGCGCAAGTGATAATTACATTCATATTTGCAATCATAAGTAAAGGGAAAACGTGCACTAGTGATCGATGCAGCTATACGGTCACATATTGCTGCTTTCATGTGCACTACATCATTCCATCGTACTATATATACCTGCAACCGTCTATGTTATTGCTACCTACAGAAGTCGCTTTTCTGAAGTTAACATTGGCGATTCCGTCGAAATATTCATTTTAAAACCAACACAAAAAGTTCCCATAATTTTGCAGCGAACAATCTACATGACATCAAATGATAGACTGCTTAAAATTAGATAGATAGTAATTTGGTGAGTTCTTGAGAAGTAATCGCTACTTAAACTGTCACATACGGATCGTCATAAGTGTAATTTATACTTTATTCGCTAAGTTGCATTCAGTCAGATCGACAGAATTTCTAGAATGTCAATGGGAGCCATTTGATGCATCAACCAAGGAATATGCCATGTCGCAAACTTTAAATGAGCATCTACATTTGTATCTGGAACATGCTTAAATGACTGAACAATTCGATGCATCATGCATGAATTCTTCGCACCAATTCAGCAAAATCGTAGCGAGCAGTAAATCAGTTGCGATGAAAACCGCAAGTTCGCTGCATAGTCGCACCATTGGGGAAAAAGTTACTTCAGCACAAATTTTCGTTATCTTCTTCTCTTAATAGTTTGGTCGCGAAACGCGAATGAATCATTCATTCTGTTCCAATTTTTACGTTATAACTGACTGAGTGATTAAAACAGCTGATAACCATTCAAGCAATTCTTTCGATTCATAAGCACAAGATACCAGGCAGAACGAGCTGATCGAAGCACCGATAATGGAACCGTTAAGAATGGTCATCAAAACATGTCAAAACATCGGCCTAACTCCATAGAAAGAAGGTGGAATGCTTGGCAGTCGAAACTGTATAAAAGGTGAGATGAGCATAAATCGTCTTCGGCTCGATCACATGGATATTATATTTCTGGAGATAGTGGCCTCAAAAATATATTCCGGAGGCAATAGTCTTGAAACTATATACTTGAGACGAACGTCTTAACTCGGTATTCTGTCGAGGAACGTTTCAACTCGGTTCTGTCGTCAACCATCGCAATTCGGTACCCTCGACGTAGTGATTCAGTGATCGACATTATTGTTGTGTATGGTTCTCATCCAATGGTTCTCCTACGTCTTTTAGGTGAAGGATCCCTCCTGTTCTGCGTTTCCCTCAAGGTTCTCTCGCTTGCAACTTTTATCGGCGACCAATCTCCTCGAGGAACGCGATTCACATGTCATTAGTTGCTGTAATTCTATTCAGATTTCATGCTATTCAAAAAAAGACTTACAAAAGCGTGTAGCTCTTCTTATACATTCGACTATTGTTACTCCACTATTTTTTTCACAAATTGACCATCAAATATGACGGCGTTGCATTAAAAAACAATATCCTGGAAAGTTTCCATGCTGTTTCCTCGAAATCCAAAGGCAGCAAAATGGAACATCACCGAAGAAATACTGAAGAC